TTCAGTTCAGCTGTTTTTTATTTTGTTTCTCATTTTAAGTTTTTTTCACTGTCAGGTCTTAATTGGTATCACATCGTCAGGCAAACCTCTGCGTGGATTTAATGCCAAAGAACTTCTTCCTGCAGAATGTCTTTCTTCTCTGGTGGGTCTTTTGAGTGAGAGTAATGTGAAAGCAAGTCTCCATACAAAGACTGTGGTCCTACTCTTTAATTTAGGTGAGTACTACAGTAGTTACTAGTTAATAAAGTAATGTTGTGTTGCGAGTAATATCTTAAAGCTGAGTTTTCATACAGGGACACAGAGAAAAATAAGTACAGTTGCTGGTGTCTCTATTGTAACACAAGAGAAAACATTACGTTCATCTGGAATAAATAAATGGAATTTAAATAAGCACTTCTGGTTGCTTTAATTCATGTAACTGTGATGATTTTTTTCAGCAAATGATAGAGAGACAAGAGAGATCCTTCACACAACATATCACCTCACATCCACACTAGCAGCCCTTCTTCACAAGCATCACCTTGCATCTAATGAAAAAATGATTTTACAGGTACTTGCTTTATTATATGTATAAATATTACATCCTACAGTCTATTAGTATAAATCTACAAGCATTCTATCACAAATGCCGTTCTCTGATTGGCTACACTACGCACTATCTATTCTGTGATAGATAGTGAGTAGCGTAGCAATGTGCTGTTGCTTAGGAAATGATGGTCGCTTCTTGGCGTTTTCGAAGTGTCTGTGAAGAGGATTTAGATAAAGTTTTCAACGACTAGTAGATTTATACCAAAACAATTAGATTATTTATTCTCGATTTCTATGCGTGATAGTTGACTTGGGCTGAGCCCTCGTCAACTATCATGCGATAGAAATCTTGAGCTCATAATCTAATTGCTTAATAGATACCATGTATAATACTAGCTAAACATCAGGTATAACTGCATTCTGATTAAGGAGTGGTGGCTTTAGTCATCTCCTGGAGAGAGATTTCATGACTGATTATCAAATAACAGTAAAATGTTTAAATGTATAATTTATAAAGCGTTGGTGCTACCTGCCACTGAAAATGATCTTCCTCCAAAAGTGAACACCATAAAAAGTGAACATATGATATACATTCTGATTTGAAGACTTGATTGATCATCGTAGTTATGCACACAACTTAAGCAGGTGTAAAACTAAAGCCTGAAAAAAAATTCAGGCCTGAATGGGATTCAAAGCCATGAGCTCTGCAATACCGGTGCAGTGCTCTACCAACTGAGCTATCAAGCCAACTGGGAGCTGGTTATAATTATGATTATGATTATGATTATAATAGTATTAAAAAGTGGAATAATGATTATATACATGAAGCTCTACCGAGACTTTTATAGTATCTGTGATAAGCACCTAGCCATTTGCTTGGTAAGCACCTAACTTCAATTGGCACATAGGCAACAACAAGCGAGAGGGCATTATTTTGGTTTCTATTGGGCTTGTGTTCCATAAATTGTTTTTAATTAAAGTTTCAAATGTCTTGTTTCTATTTCAGTAGAAAAATAATTGAAGTTGTTTATTTGTCATTGTACAGTTCTACATGGTTTTTATCATTTATGTACAACTAGTTAGAGATGAAGATCCACATTTTTCTTTGCTGGTGGATAGTTATTTTCCTAGACACGTTACATTTATTTTTTAAAGTCTTTAGGTCATGGCATGTCATGTACACCTACTTACACATATCTTCAATTTTTCATTGTATTTTATGAAAATAAATTCATTATCATTGGACTGAAATGAATGTATATTAAGAATTGATATATATTTGTCTATGAACACTTTTTTTGTCATTCTTTATAAGTGTCTGCAACTATTAGAAAGAGTCACTTATGGCTGCAAGATTACAACACCAAGTGGATACATTGAGGAATTGATCAGATATCTGGTGACAAACATGTGAGTAAGACTTGGTAACAGTTACATTGTCGGTGTTATACACGTACTTATGTACACAGCTACATGTAGCTGTGCAAGCAGGCAAGATGAACCAAATCCTGTGCTGTGATTGGCTACCTGAGTGGGCAAGATAGCGCTATCTTGCCTGCTCAGGATTACCTGCTGTGTCCCGCAAAGAAATAGTGTTCTTTTTCCGTATATTATAATGCGTGTAAATCCTTTATTGACCATGAAGCTTGTTTGGTCAAGATGGCCCCATTTCAGTCCATAAACACACAAACAAAGAAAATGGCTGATATCCAGCCACCTTGACTGAACGAACTTGGCCAGTAATCCATACATGATTGAATATCTTGTATAGCTGACATGTACTACAACCATGTTACTGGACCTGGTACAAATTCAACATCATACTATGCAACAAGATATTATTTAGTATTAAAATTTAATGTATCACATATTAATGAGTAATTAAAATTAATTATTATTTTGGATGATTTTCCCAAAAATCCATACATGGGGCGTGACTATATACCATGTACATATGCATGAATTGAATTTTATTGTGGGTGATTGGTTTTCTCTTTTTAAATCCTACGAAAAATTTCAAAGTGCTATTCAGGATTACAGTACTACTACAGCAAAAAAGTCTCAAGTTAAAAATTCATTTAATACTGTAATAGTGACAGTTTATACCACAGACATAAATTAGATTGATGTGTTGCAATTTTTTAGAAATAACACATGTGTAAAACTTAAGTCTGTTTATAAAAATGTATATATCCTTTTTTGTTTCATTTACTGCAGACAGAAGCCAGAGTCAGACCTAACTATTCCCTGTTTAGGCCTGTTGGCAAACCTTTGTCGACATAATCTACCAATCCAGGCCCATGTCAAGGCACTGGTAAGTACAAGTCAGTTTTAATACACTCTTTCATTTTATCATAATGTTTCATGTAACTAGAGACCAATGTATTTCACCCCTTAGCCCTTTGTATATCACTATTTATAGTACATGACATGTACGTATGACTGTTGAACTTGACTTTTCATGGTATTAGTACATTGAGAGTTGTAGTTTCTCAACTAAACTATGACCACTTTCTTGTTGCAGGAGAACATTAAATCACTTTATCGGACTCTGATAGCTTTTCTCTCGCACAGTAACCTGACGGTGATTGTTTTTGCGTTGTCCATTTTGACAAGCTTATCACTTCACGAGCAGCTGGGGGAGAAGGTACTTGTCCTATAGTCTATAGATGTACAGACATACATTATTTCTTCTCAATTAACAGTGCATACCGTACACATGTATTGATATCATATTTACAGTTCTGTCATCCTAGCTGGATAACAAACTTGACTTTAGTGAACATATTAAATTAATTAAATTAATGTGCTTAACGGCTAACTCTAAGATCAGTGTACCGACAAGGATGAAGTCGAGCTGGTTTCAGAAAAGATCAAGTTTTGTCTATTGAAATCTGTAATCCTTCCCAGGCCTAACTTCTGTTCAATTTTATGGTTATTTATAAGTCAGAACATCTGATAAGTGCAGAAAGAAAACAAGAGAGGGGTGTTTATTATTAATAATACTACATCAAGTTATGGCAGTTTGTTAGAGAAAGCACACCTGTCAACTTTATACATGTACATGTATAATAGAAGACTGCTTGTTAACCTGGTAGAACTGAAAGATGATAAATGTGGATCAGAATACACCTTATGTAGTTCTTAAATTTTCATATAATTCTTAAATTGTACATACTTTAGATATTTATTCTCTAGATTGTTACATATGATACTGGGATTTTTAATGTTAATGTTGCTTCACTTTTCATAGTTTAATTTTTCTGGTTTACCAACTAGCTGTTTAATCCCAAGAACATCCACCAGACTTTTCAACTTGTGTTCACATTTCTTATAAATGGTGAGGGTCCAATGACAAGACGATCTTCAGTGGACTTGTTTGTTGACTTACTGGCCAGCCCTAAGATTCAGCAGTCTCTTCTCATGTAAGTGCCTTGTACACATGGTTCTGTAGTTTGCAAGTTTTTTTATTGTTTCTACAGGCACAGACTATTTACTTGTGCATGTACATATATCCATGTTAAATTTATGACTGGAGTATGACATTTGAGTGCCAATTGTTTCTGACCCCTTGTCTAGCTTTGCCTTGTAATTAAATTATCATAACAAGGTTCATGGTTAATAAAATTTAAACATTGTACAGTGTTTCCCATGATACATGTGCAGTAGGTACAAACCTGTACCTAGGAAATCAAACTTTTAGTTAATTTGACATTTTCACTGGCAGCCTTAAACCATTTCAATTTAATTTTTCTTTCAGACATGAACACTTAGCTTTTTATTTGGAACAGATTTTGGCCTTGCTTCACTTAAATCAGGCAGAGGAAGCAGGGAAGGTAACAAATTAAAATGATTATCATTCTGTTGAATGTTTGTTGCCTTTATTTGCTTTAAATGTGGTATTTTCACCATATTTGTATTGATTCACATTCAGTTGCAGGGATGTAGTTATGAAAAAACTTAAAGCCACACAGTAGCTTCTTAAAGTGCTCAGCTGGCTTGTCTTGCGTTTGTACCAAAAAGTTTGCATAAGCTTTCTTTCAGCTGACTCTTGGCTACATCCCTTGTTCTGAATCAGTAGTTTGTACAATTATCATAGCAGTGCTTCTGGCATTTTACAATGTACATGGTATGCTGTGACAGCTGCATGCATGACTGACATAGTCTGTGGTAAAAGGTGGCACAAGGAGCTACAAAATAAAGATGTCTTACTTGAGAGATAAATACTAAAAACAGGCAAAACTAGCAGTAAAAACAGAGTTGCTGTTACAAGCAAGAGTGTCCTCAGAAATTCTTCACCAAGGATGCTTCATGGACTGTCTTTTAGATCTAACTAATGAACCAACATCTGGATGAATTCTTTTTTCCACTTGAAAGGTGTTTGAGCTGCTATTGACATTCTGCTCAGTGACTGGGTTAAGAAGTCTTGTGTGCAGAGCTCTGTTCACTCCTGCAAGCTCCAAACCAAAGGATCCAAATGTAAACAGTGCATATGATGTTGTCCTATACTGGGCCAGTCAGTCAGTCGAGACCCACTCCACTGTGTCCCTAAAGGCTCTTGATTTCATTAAGGAGATTTATGAGGTCAGAATTGTTGAAATTTCTAACTTTATGTCACAAATTGAAGTAATTGTGTACACATACATATACTGTAGTTGCGAAGTTATCACATTTTTGTTCACTGGACATTGATTTGAATTTAAGCAGTCTAGGCTATGTGCATGGACATGGTAAGATTATTAAAAGCACAACTAATACTACAGTGTATGACCTACCTTTTTACAGCATGCAAAATGTCTCATGTCTCATGAACATTTGGGAGCTTGATTATAGTACAGCCACAGTAGACAACTTTCTTGCTCTCCCAACACTCTCTCACTCAATCCTGGAATGCCCAGTGACACATAGTGTTCTCCCAAACATACACTTAATTTCCTATTGTGCACTGCATAGATTGTAGGAAAAATGGAACAGGGACCATAATCTTGATGTATTTTATATTCCTAGGGAATTTTATTTGGAATCAGTTAGTATTCCCAACAAAATCAGCTCTTTAACATCTTTGCTCATAAATGTTATTAATTCAAGCCACAGATTGGTCTTTTAATATGTACGGTGGACTAAAAATCCTGTAGATGCACGATATTGTTGTCCTATCTGCTAAACTTTAAAATTAGGAATGATTATAGCTCAGTAATGGGATACCTGTGCCATATTTCAATTTTTACCAATGTATTAATTTGCTATTGCTGTTGTTTACACCAGGAACTTGTTGATGGTGGCCTGTTGAATCAGTTATCTCCCCGCACATGTGATCTGGTGCCGGTACTGACCCAGCTACTCATACCACCAACAGAGATTGACGGTGCTGTGCTTAAACAAAAGTGTGCACAGATCAACAAGGCCTTAGAAGTTCTTAGTGATATCCTTGTTAATTTGAACCGATGTATAATTACATACAATTTCTGTATCTTGTTAGATCTTGCGATCTCCACACAAAGCCTATTTTCTTCCAGTTTGTAAAGTCTTGATGAGGGTTGACAAGATCACAGTAGTGAACTTTCTTTAACTGGTAATACTGCTCTGTTTTGAAGATTCATTGAAGAACATTGTTTTAGGACAATTGAAACTTGATTACTGGTGGAAGCTGCTGGAATACCAATACCAGCACAACAGTGTGGGAACACGAAGTACTCTTGCACTATCATGGAGGTATAGTACTGTATCCTTGTCTTTTTTCTCCTAGGAGTAAAAATGGGTCTGACAGAAGTATGGGAGAATGCATGTAAATGGATACAAGTTGACAAAATATTGGGAAGCAACCTTCAGTTTCGCCATGTTACAGTGAATTTGTTTGTTTAAGCTGGGTTGTCATTGTTCGATCATTAGGCCTTGTAGGATTCTTCGCTTGTGAAAAGATTGGGCCGTGCAGAGTGTGCGCCAGCTAAACAAATACAAAGCATTCTCGCGTAGGTGACGGGCAGGTACAGTGTCCTGTTCACAGTCATTGCATGTGTTTGAATGTTGATCAGTTCGCACCTGCACATTCCTCATGGTCTCACCGATGTAGTTTTCACCGCAAGAACAGTCTCCTTTGTAGACCTCATGTTCTCTATGAGTGTTTTTGTCTTAAAGGTTGAAGAGGAAGTGGGGGGATGCTTCGGAAATCAGACCCTATGAGAGACTTAGGCTTAAACCTCTTACTTTTACAATGCATAGTTCAATTTGTTGACAGTGAATGAATTCTGATATTTTGTGATTTCAGTTTAGAGGGTGTCAACGTTGTACTTCAGATGTTAGACTTGCTTTGCAAATTGAAGAATGATGTCAAAGGATTAAAGGTAGAGGCTTTTGCTGCTGGTTGGCTGAAAAAAAAGCATGTTTCTCCGACTGGTTATTAGACTATCTCTACTTCGCAGACGCTCCTTGTGCTCGAATCCAATAACGTGAACTTCATAACTGATCTCTGCTGTAAATGAACAAACTTATTTTGTTGAAAACGCTGCTTTTCTTACCACAGGGTCAGCTTGCTTCTGCGTTACAAGACCAGCGGCTAGTCCCATTCTTGGCACGCTCGATGAGCAGCGATTCGCGTGATAGCGTCCAAAAATCTCTCCGGATTCTCTGTGAGGCAAACAGCTTGCCAGACTTCCAGGCCATATGGTAAACTTCGTGAAAATCTAACGAAAATGTCATACACTGCACGGAATACGTATGAACTGTAGGCATACCCTGGCCAATCATTGGTCGTACTGAGATTTGAAACCTCCTTCAGAATTAGTTTGAACTGAAATCACCGTGGGGCTATAGCGTGAGGGTGTTCTAAGTTGTGTTAGCTAAAATATGATCTTCTACTCGACATTTTTAACGTGAATTTTTAGGCTGATTTTGTTTCTTTCCCTTGTAGTTCAAAGCAGATCTACTGAATTAAAAGTTTGTATATCTGGCCATAGGGACCCCAGAATGGCTGTCAAATAATTCTTAATTCAAAACCCTTTTGGCTTCAGGTTAGGGGATTTAATCGCCTCAAATAACGCAGCTCGCGAGGAAGAGATGACCCTGTTAAGAAGACCCGCCGAGACAGAACTGAGTCCCCCGTCATCTCCTCGGCACCAGGTCTCTATGATCAACAGCCGGAACTCGACTGCACGATCAGTAGGCCAGGATCACGTTCCAGTTAAGATAACAGCTCCTCCAAAGAACACACACCACGATGCAAACATCGAGTCCTTAATTGAGAAGATGAAGTCTGGATTAGAGGTTTGGTTGATTAGTGTACCTTCGTGTTCCTTACCCTAGCGTACCGTTGAAAAGAAAAAAAAACCTTTATTTGCCCTCGGCTGTGTTAATAGCACAAAGGCTAGTGGGGCCTTACAGAAATACCTATATATACCTAGAAATAAGATTGTCAGTCAAACGATATCTTTTTGAGTTTATTTGTCATAGTCTGTTTGCGTCGATCAGCAATCCTTGCCGGAAAAAAGGGGTTAATTTTTTTCTGGTACGTCAGTCTGTTAAAGTGACGTGTATCAGGCGGAAAAATGGGCAGCCGAGTAAAATATTTGTAATGCACAAGTCGTGGGAGTCTCTAGCGTGCTCTTCTTCTGTCTTCGAGTGAAGTACTGTCATAGCATTACATCGTCCTGGCTGGCTTCCACGAATAAATCTTACAACAAACAACGAACTCTTAAACACCTCATGTTGGCAGCGATCCGGGGTAGCATTCCAAATGTCAATTTCTAAGTTCCTTCCGCCAATAGGAAAAACATTGCACGGCTAAAGGAGAGTTTTTAAATGGGATGCAACGTAAGCTTCGTAGCTCACTTTATATTTCTGCTTTTGGCCTCAATTTTCTTGTAGATTAAGCCAGATCCTCACGCCTCTGAAATCATGGACATATACGAGGCTAAAATGGCAGCTCTGGTGGTGAGTGTCTCAAGTTATGACCCATCCCTTCCTTAAACCTTCAAAGTTCAAAAAACGTTTACATGAAGTTCAAAGAGTTTCATACTTCACTCTATAGACATCAGGGGACTTCAACATTGTGTTTTGTTTTCAATTTCAGACGAAGGAAAGTCATCTTCAAGATCTGTTGGAAGCAAAAGCTCTTGCACTGGCCCAAGCTGATCGTCTCATTTCGCAGTACAGGTGTCGAAGGGCCCAATCGGAGGCCGAGGTATGACGATGATTTTTTTGGGAAGTAATCTGCTGCCTTCGACAGGGGTCGTTTTACATGCTTTAAGTTTTAAAATTCTTCAAAACGTATTTATGCTGTTATAATTTATCTTTTATCGTTTGGCTTTTTCTCTGTTGCAGTGTGCGAAACTTATGCAGCTCTTACAGACCACAGAGAAGAAAGCAGAACAACAGGCAGAACAGGTTTGGCTCGGCTGATCAACATACATTTGTACTAAGACACTAAGTGATGCAAGTCAAGTAACTTTCGCATGGGAACAGGAGCCTTAGCCCTCTTGGTCTCACAAAATGAGCTTTACAAAGTTATATATGTATCTCGCTTGACAGCACATTTTAATATACATCGGGAACACTTTTTTCTGTTACAGATAAATGAACTTCTTCAAGCTCAAAAGGCTGCCACGAAAGAGGTATGTGATTTGTTACGTTATTTTGTCTTCTCCTGCCTTGCTCATTTTGCCATAAATCAAAGTGTCACGCTACACTACCATGAAGTGACCTTCCATGGAAGAAACCTTCAAATAATAACTTGTTGAGGTAAAAAAACAAGTAAAGTTGAACTAAGCTAACTCGAACTCGTTTATTTCAAACTCAGACCTATTTCCTGTAGATTAGCCCTTGTTTTTCCAGTTATTTACTATCAGCTATTTCGAACTATTTTCGATAACAATCAATCTACGCTGACTTAGTGTTTTGTCGCAACCACTCATCATCACTTCTTCATGGTTTATATGTTGTAGATGGAAGTCATGATGAAACATAATGAAAACCTGAAAGTTGTCGCTGAGGAACACGAGCAGCTGAAGATTGCCTATGCTGAGCAGTCACAAAGGTACGTTTTTGTTCAGTCCTTCTTTCCGCCATGTTCGATTAATTGAACTACTACTTGCTGTGACATTTTGTGTAACATTCACTGCTCATCTTTTTTCGCTTTCTTTTCAGACTTGAAACAAGCCAGCGCAGTCTTATGGCGGCTCAAGATGAGCACAAAGCCCTGTCAGACTTGAACGAGATGTTACGGCGACACAACGATAACCTTAAGAGTCAGCACGACTGGTAATCATGTGCAGCTTTCATTGTTTACGATTTCAATTCTAATAAATTGTAAAGATATTGACCGCTTTGTGGCTATTTCCACAGCACGTCGAAACAGCTCCAGGAGCTTGAACTGGAGAGGAAAAAGATTGTACAACAGCTCAAAGAAAAGGAAGCCAAATGCCAAGGTATAACTATCATGTCTTAGCAGTAAGCTCTATTGATTCCTACTGCGCTTGTTAACCATAGTGTACGGATCTTTTGTCGATCATCTTCCCTGATGGCAAGTCGATTCAGAACTTACGAGTGCTTTGAAACTAACCTGATTGTCTAGTTGAAGGGCTTCAGGTTGTCTTGAAACATTCAGTTTAATTTAACCACACTGTTAAACAGTGTAATGTTAATGCGTTTTTTTGTTTTAGTACCATTCAGTCTCCAAGCGACCTTTGCAATAACTGGTCTCTCAATGAGTTTGTTTGTTGCTCGCTTATTAACGTAGCCTTTTTTCTAGAATTGAGTTGCAGTCACTGACAGATTGTAGCATTTAACAGCGTCTTTAAACTTCCATTCATTTCTTTTGCAGAGTTGACCAAAAATGGCTAGAGATGTTTAATTCCATACTCGATAGTCAAGACCTGGCCAATAGTAAGCTGACGTTGTTTTACCCATTTCTCCTTTACAGAACTCCGTAAATCCCTTCAGAAACAAGAGGAAGAGAGGAAACAATGCGAAAAGAATATCGACGATCTGCAAGAGAAAAATGAATCACTGAAAAATGATTTAACAAAAGCGGAGAAAGAACGGAAGGAATTATCGCATAAGGTTGGTGCTTATGTATAGGAAGGGATGGGTGGGTGGGTGGGTGGATATGGAGTGGAGAGTGGGGGAAGTAGACAGAGGAAGGTGCTTGAAAGATAAAAGATCTGGTGCATACAGGAGAGACTAGCCCACTTAATATTGCAATTGGTAATTTATTTGCGTGGCCGGGAGCTTTATCTTGCAATAATTTCAGTTTTGCAAATTTGTACCCCTTGCAAAAAAAAAAAAAAAAAAAAAATAGTTTACAGGGATGTTCTTACTAATCTCTAACTTTCTCTTGACGCGTTCGCAGCTGTCGTCGTTGGAACTCATCTGTCGACAGAACGAAGACGTTATCAAGAAGCGAGAAGAAGCTGTCAAGGAACTACAGTCTGAACTGGATCGCCAGGCTCAAATCGCTGCCATGATTCATAACTTAAGCAGCGGCAAAGTACCGATCAGTAATTATCGCGCAAACCCCAGCTAACGTACTTGCCATGCTCTGTCATTTGATAAGTCTGTGATCAAACCTTTTTATATAGGATGTCTATGAACCATTGGAGAAGGCACTCATGAAAGCAAATTACTTGTACATAGATAATTTATTTTTATATCTGATGGGTCTCAGACCAAATAGATAGCCCCAAACCAACCTCCTCAGCACGAAACTCGTAAAAGAATCACCCGTAATTTATACAATACGAAATTATTTTGTAGACAAATCTTGCTAACAGAATGAAAATCTTGCTATTTTAATGAACGAAAGATTAAAATTTGCTCTCAATGCAGGCAATTGATGTTGTGTTGTTTGTTATTCATTGACACTTGTGGAAACCGTTGTGTAAACTGGTTTAATAGTCGATGTATTGCAAGATTATAGTTACTTTGTTTCAGATGTACAGTGAAGGGAAACTACTTTTACCAGGAATTTTCTTCCAGCAGCTTTCTTCCCTTCGAACACACTAGCGTTACATTTGCAAATTTCGATTCGGAATGAGCAGTGTATTACGCTGGGGACGATCTTTACCCCAAGATGAAAGTCTTCATGTCATGACATGTGGGGCTGGAATATCAACTTAAAGTCAATTCTTACACCTTAAAGATAGTCAACTAAGGTTAATAGAAACAACAGAGAAGCAATAACCAACTATGCAGAAAATGGGCAAGGAGTTTCAAGAATGACTGGAATTCGTTTCTCACGTCGTCACGCAATGCTACTAACACACAATGGAGCATTGCGTGACAGTCCAAATAACAGTTGTGAACGTCATGAAAGTTTTGGCAAATTTTTTGGCGCAAACGTTTTGTTAACTTGATGCCACAATTCTCTGCAGTGCGAAGAGTGCGTGTCGAACCAGCTCCTCGACCCTCAAATCTTCTACATTGTAAAGAGCGCCTTTGACGTTAATCGTAGACTGAATAGCCTGGCTCTATCAAATTGGAAAATCAGTGAGCTCGAGGAGGCGTTTCAGCCTGGGAAAAAGAATTTTTATTTTCCATGCCTTCTGGGCTGCAACGACAATTCTCCTGTACACCCAAAAGTTTACTCGCTCATGTGAATGGCGTAATAGGTGCAACGGCCGGTACTACGTGATTTGAAATTTGTAGAAATCCCCCGCGTGCATGAAAGTTGTTTCACCAATCAGATTAATTGTAAAAACAAGGAAGGTTTGCTGCATTAAGCTAATTACTCTTAGGGCATGAGTTACCGTAATATATCTTCTGAGCAGTAAAGATAGGTTTGGTACTCAACTGATGCAGGCATTTACGTCTTGAAAACTCTTGCGCTTTGCGGCCTTCGTGTCGTGCTGACGTGTAGCTCTAAACTGTCACGACTCGACCGAAAAACGTATCTAAAGTTTCGGACGACCAATTTTAGGCTAGGAAATGTAGGTTTTTTTCCTCAAACAAAGGTGTTTATGGTGTAAGGTGATTATGGTCTTAATCTGCCCTACAGCAGTAGTAGCACTTTTTATTGTGGAACTGAATTCCACCCTTTATCAAGGTAAGCTTTAGTTTGTAGACTTGTACGGTACGAGGCGAAGATTGCCATGAGTAACTTAAAGTTTCGTCTTTATCCTAACAGTGCTAAGCAACCGATTGCTGAGAAAATATCCAAAATCAAATTAAACTTATATTGTTGAATTAATTTAAGCGATTACTTGAAGAACAACAAAGAGAATTCAGTTTAATAAGGCCAATTGGCCTACTACTACTCACTCGTTGGTCGGCCATTTGAAGTACGTCATTCAGTCAACTTTTACAAGTTTGTATGGCAGCTTTCGTTGACAATACTACTCGATCTTTGTCATTTTTTAGATCTTCCGACCGATGCGAGTTTCATTCCTCTGGAAAATCACGAGCTTGTCGTTTCTGGAAGATATCCACAAGGTAAGGCATGCATATTCTTTTCCTAGCTATCACAGTTCCTTGAACGTTACATAATGTCATCCGAAATCATTTACTCACCATCAATGGAAGAGTAATTTTGAACGAAGAGTTCGTGATAAATGGCTCCTTGAAATAAAGGTTCTGTAGAAGTGCGAACAAGTTGAATTAAACTTATTTATTTACCCGAGACAGAGGATAACATCTTCATCAATTTGAAAACGTTCAATTGTGTAAGGAACAGCTTAAGCTTAATTCATAATTTGAATTTACATTAAGCTTATGTTCAATGAATTGTTAAATGGTTATACCAACAACTTTTTCAAAGTGATGAATGCTGAACCAACCCTGTAATCACTGCAAGTATACATCAAAGTGTGATTCTAACAAAAATAATCCACACGGTTTGCTAGTGAAGAGTTGTGGCAGTGCTGTGCCACAATTTTGATCATTCCAGCATCTCAAAATGCTTCAGTAAAACGTATGGAATTTAATCATTCTGAGGCCTGTTAAACAAATATGTACAAAAGCTGGTAAATTGTTATGGCCACCTGACTGTTGGGGACACTAACTGCAAGAAACCAGAACTCTGAACTTGTCAAGTCCAGCAGTCATTAAATTATAACCTACAATCCTGGTCCAAGGTCGCGGGACACTTTGCACTTTTGCCAATACATGGTCTTTCTGTCGATGCCCCCCTTCACAACCCCAACACAATGTTGATGTTGATTCATTCAAAGTAGACTCACATTTCTTTTGGGGGGAGGGAGGCCAGAAAATTGAATTATGACTTCCCACTTCAAAATAAATTAAGACGGAATCCATCAGAAGTTTGAGTAACAAGTGGACAAAAACCTAGTACCAAGATTATTTACATCGCATTGCAAACTTCTGTATAACTGTTTTAAATATCTTCTCAAAAAAAGAATCATTTGTAGCAACACCAAACATCAAAAACAAATGTTGAACTTCGTATGAAACACTTGAAAAAGTACTGGTGAAATGAAACTGATGATGAAATTTTACCTGTGTTTGCACAGTTTCTCTGAACTTTGGAATTAATTTTCTCTCGTTCCCATGGGAAATTGTTTTTGGTGTTATTTCAGGCAATTATTTATATCTTTAGCTTTAAGAAAATATAAAAAGGACTGTAAAATGCTTAAAATTATTCTGTTACCAGATTTTTGTCCACTAAAAACTGCAATTGCTTGATTGTTTATCGGATTTTGTCACTGGTTGGCATTTTGTCAAGTGTTCCAAGGACTTTTGGCTGGTATTGTAGTTTCTTTCCTAACAAATTTAAGTAGAGACTGATGACTGTGACCATTTTAACTTGTAATACTCTCACACAAAAAATGTACAATTTCTAAAATGACAGTCTGAAGATAATTTGATGGTTACCTTATGTATAGCCAATAAGGTCACAGGCTTATAGCATATTTGTATAGAATGGTTACTGTGGATTATTATTGTAGAGAACTGATGATACTGGACACTCACAATACATGATTATTTATCGCTTGTTTTCAGGGTCTACCATTAACTCAAGCTTTAACAATGTGCACTTATTGCATATACAAGATGATCCATTCTACAATCCCTATTTTGCTCTCAACAAGCAATCAAGAACACTGCAGAACAAAATAGCAATTAATACAATACAGGTATGAGTAAACAGTGATGTAAGAAATGACAAGAAATTTGATATTTTAGTGTAGCGTGATTTAAAGGCACCATCCATGAAACATTAAGCTAAAGATACTGAACGCAAATGAGCAGTTCCAAAAAATATCCATATTCCCCCACAGAAGGGATTGGAATGTCCTGGGTGGTGGAGGGTTCTCTAAGATCAAAACATTTAAAGTAATGCATGAGCTTAATTGAAATCTTCAGAGGGGTCTTGGGGTCTTAGAAAAAATCTCTTTCTTGGGCAAGGTATGGATATTTTCTGGAACTACACATTATAGTAAATTTGATGGATTGATTGGCAGATTGATGCCTAATGATTGGTGTGATGATCAGTCTGTGTAGACAGTCTGCTACAAAATATTTTAAACTGAAAAACGAGACATTTAAACATTTTTCAGCTGGGTTCACAACCAATTCGTCAATGATTTAGATGGCTCCGGATTTGTTTAAAAGAAATCCGAAAGAATGATCTACTTAATAAAAAAATACCAAGAGGAGAAACTGCTACTAACAAAGGAGTTAGTAAGTTGTTTGCCATAGAAGTATACAGTAGTTTCCTTTTTTGATGTTGCTATGACAACTAATTCTGCTTGTGGGGAAAATCTATATACAAGTTACAGGCTTATGCTAAAACTTAATCTTAATTACTGAGGTAGCTGTAGTAGAGAAACAAAAACCAGAATTCCAGTAAATGATTTGTGCCACCTTAAAACCAGTGAAATTGTTTCCAAATTGGGTAAATATCTTATCAAGATGAAGTTGATGTCATCAACCTGGTGATAGTTTTAGCTTGTGAGAAACATAAACTGTCATAAGTGTCACAATTTTGTACTTTTGTGCTTTTACTGCTATTTTATCTTCTATTTCTGTTCACTGTCTTATGACTTTCTTGCAGGGAAATACTTCCTTCATTGGTACATTTTTGATGGCTGTCAACAAACAAAACCAGTCAAAAGTGAACACTTTGGTATCAAATCTGACATTTTTTATTTAGCATATGTGGATATATTTATATGAATATATGTGTCATCACTTGCTTGATTAAATTGTTTCATTTCAGGCTCTTGGGTTTGTGGGGTGGAGGAAAGGGGAATGATTTGACACCTATAATGAGTTCTGAAAGCTCCACCTTTTTCCATCGTTGTTTGTGTTGGCTCCTCATTACTAAACTGAACACCTGGAACGGGCTATTGCCTAGTTACTGCTCACCCAAGCATGTGTTTTTCAAATTGCAAGTTGCAATATAATTTTTGAAATTATGATCAATTTTCACTGTTTAGAAACAACCAAGATGAAGTAACTCTGTCTTTGTCTTCAATCTCTCTTCTTGTATTTTTGACCTATTTGTTTGTTTTCTTAATTCTGACTTTTACTACTGACCATGCCACTTTTAAAACAAAATCAGAACTTATAATATACAAGACTTTTAATCATCAATCATTTCTTTTTCCACAGTATTGTGTGACGTACTGTATTGGCAACATCACTGAACTGTCGATGCATGAAGCCTGCTATGATTCAATCAGCTCAGAAGCCCTTCACGCCACTGTGAATGGTTCATTGTTGTCTCAGCATGTTTATGAATCAAATATCAGTCAACATGCATCTGTTGCCTACAATGTGCTGCAGCTTTCACTGACACCTGGGAATAAGGTAAATCAGTAGCCACTCAGCTGTGTTCTTATTTGAGTGGATCTCCAACCATTTTTTTTAATTTACTGAGAGACATCCACCACACGTGCGCTGCTCTTGAAACTGAAAATTATTTTTAATTTGAGGCTTAAAAATACATGAAATTAGAGGCTTTGTACTGTTATGCTTCAGTGTCTACTAACACAATTAGAATATACCCCCTGGTTTTCTATGAGCGATAGTCAACTGACAGCTATGCCTCGTTTATTATTTATTATTTGCTTTTAGTATAAATCTACTAGCGTTCTATCACGAATGGCATTCCCTGATTGACTACGCTACTCACTATCTATTCTGTTGTAGATACTGTAGTGAATAGAGTAGCAGTGTGCGCTTGTTGGCAAATTTGCGTCTGTGAAGAGGATTTAGATAAAGTTTTGAATGACTAGTAGATTTTGCACTAAAAGAATTAGATTATTTGCTCTCGATTTTTATGCGTGATAGTTGACTCGGGTTGCACCCTCGTCAACTATCACGCGATAGAAATCTCGAACTCATAATCTTATAGTTAAATGAAAAACTTGGGCTTGTAGTCTAATTGTTAATTAGCTTACCCCTCATGTCATGCCTGCTGGCTTTTAACCTCTATATATTTGTGAAATTGTAGCTTGCCAGCCTTTAATTTGTCCTTTCATTGTAAAGCAATTCTTTGAACCTCTGTAATTAATATGTCTCTGTTACCTTTACAATGAATTGAAGTATCTTTTTGTTCACTCTTAGTCGAACGTTACCTTTGCTCTCTTGGAGTGTAGTTCAAGACTGTTTTTTGTGGATGATAGAGGCGTGCTAAGAACTGGACGACAACTCGTTGAAGAAGACATTGCAATTCACGAGTTAAAGGTCGGTTGCATTGATTTTGCTATGAAGCCATATTCTTTGAATGTTTTTACTCGTTTCTAGACCACTATGTAGTTATTAAGCATTAAAACAGTTTTAAACGTGCTTATGACATGAAATCTTTCTGTGATGATGATTTTTTCTTTTCACACTCTGTCCTTATTTCATTATAAACGTAAAGTGAACGCGTAATTGATGAACTCTATTTAAGTGTCATTAACTTATATCTTGCCTACAAGGTTCTACTAATTGGGGACACAGAACAGATTGAATTCGGAAATAGGAGTGTGGGCTTTTGAGGAGGGAGGAAAGCTGGAGAACCAAAGAGAAAACCCTCGGAGAAATGACGAGAAACAACAAATGAGATCCACGTATGATGCAGGGTTTAGGATTGGAACTCGGGGCACATTTGTGGGAGGCGAGCACTCACCACCGCATTTCACCTACTCTCCACTCATGTATTCTTTCTCTTCCGCCACTGTACAGTTTCTCTTTTGTTACTAGATTGCTGCTTCAGCCAAGATTTCGGATGTGCCTCAGTTGGAACTTGCATTGGCAACGGTGAAAGTCATAGAGGCAAATACCTTCCCCCCAATATTTGAAGAGCCCGACGGGTATACTTTTAGTGTGAAGGAAGGCGAGCAAGGCCTCAGTGTTGGTTTTGTTAAGGTATTAGATATGTTACCAAGGGTTTTCCTTGATATGTGACAGTATCAAGTTAGTAGATGTATGTTTGGGGTAACTTGAGAAACTGGGATCAATACAATGGCCAACACAAGACATTAAAATTCTTGAGTTTCAAGAAGGAGCCAGAGGCTGGGAGTTATGTAGTCTTTCCGTAACATATACAGGGGTGTATAGTAGTGACATCATTTTCAGTATAAGAAAAAATGAAACCAAATGATCGAGTCATGTAGCCAATAGAACTTCCATGCGAATGGTACCCCAGGCAGAACATTATCCAATAATTACACTGTGAAACACAAGATGCATCAAGCAGGCCTGAAGACGAATCTTCCTCAGCTCCGATTTTTTTTTTAAATATGAAATTTCAACTGGCATTTTTTGATAATTGGAAAATTTGTAGTCAGTTTTTTGTCTGGGTTATAACATGGGAGAGCTGGTGAAGTATAACTGAGGAAAACGGGAGTTCTTGGGCAGCACAAGTCGAGCACCGAACAAGTTGTTTGCCATTTTTTTTTTCGCCTCCTCCTCAACTTCTTTTAAACAAGTTCACGTATTTCTTACTCTGCAATGGCCTTTGTTTTGCAGCATTTTTGTTTACCACCATACAAGGAGTTGATTTCGTTCAAAAAATGGTTTTCCTCTGCTTTCTCTACTGTTTATAGGCCAAAAATTTGGGGACTTAATTTCTATTTGAAACAACGAAAATCACCACTAAGTGGGCAGAAAATCGAATATGCTCCAAGTTAGTCCTTCCACCTCAAAACTTCTTCTGTCAAAACCACACGAAACCAAACAGAACATTGGAAATTTGTGGAATCGGGAACAGTTCTAGGTATGGTAATCAGAGTTACTGATACGTCCATTGGTTGTTCTCTCACCAGGCTGTTGATCGTGATGTGGGATTGAGTGGAAAAGTGGTTTATTCTTTTGAGAAACAGCAAGACACCAGTTTGTAAGTCTAATTGGCTTTTTCAAAGTCAAATGGTCAAAGTCTATAGTGTTTATTATCCTTCAACACGCGCAGTTTTGAAAATTGGGGAATATTCTCGGATATTCCCTGGTTTTAGCTGGGGAATATTCAGTCATGTGACGCGTTTAGACCAATCGCGCGAAAGCGAAAATATTTGATGGATTATAAAACTGGATAGAAGCATGGTACATAGACATAGACAGTTTATGTTACTTGGACAGCGCGCTTAGCTATGGTAACGGTGCGTCCCATAGACTTGACAAGCAGAGTCTCACGCACCAGCTAGATTATAGGTGAGCCAAGAAAACAAAATAACAAAGTAGAGATGTTTGTATAATTGGTTACGAATATTAAACTAAACTATCTAAGAATATATCACTGCTATAAAATATCTTGGAATGTAAAAGAATTTTAAAATGTACATAAATTGTACAGATGAAAACTGTGCATAAGTAAGATGTGACAATAGACACATGGCAGCTGATGTCCACGTCACTTGGTGCATTTTTAAAAGCTTTGTAGTTTGCTGTTCCGTAATTTAGGTCCAAAGTATCACCATGATTTAAGGCCGTACTTAGTGGTGTGTGCCTTAGGGAGATTAAGAATGTACATGTTTTGTATTTCTTAAATGTGAACATAGTTAAGGGCTATCATGGAATTACTGCTTGACTCTGTCATAAAAAGAACTAGAAAACGATCGCTTATTTATTACACAGACTGATGAAAAAGTTTGGAAGAATTCAAAAGTGACAGTAAAGATGTAAAATAATATAATAGGAGTAATAAAAACGCAAGCCTGCGGCTCAGGCTTAGGTAACGTTGAAATTTTTCTTGTGTTTCAATCAGTCTTAATGTAAACTTTAAAGCCATTATTGTGTCTATTTCTTCGATAGTTCCTCCCATCTCCTGAAACGACTTTGGATCATAATAGACAAAACTCTTGCTTTGTAAAGTTAATACACAAAGAACTTGAAATTCGACCAGTGGTGCAAAGTTTTATTAGAGTTATGTTGACTTTTCAGGTTCGAATTAAATGATACAACCGGTGAGATCAAGACTGCTGTAGCTCTTGATCGCGAGACTGCTGAAAGTCACCTGTTTACAGTGGTCGCAACTGATCAAGGTGTTCCCAAGCCTTTCAACAGCCAAGTAGAAGTACGTGTTGTAGTTGAAGACATCAACGATAATCGACCAGTGTTTACGAGTAAAGAAGTTGAATTGGTTTTGAGCCTCTATACACAACCTGGACCTATTTTAAGTCTAAAGGTAATATGTTGTGTTGTAAAGCGCAGTAAAAATATGACGATTTTTATGCATTTTAAGCGCTAAGTGCTGTTCTGGTGGAGTAAGCTAATGCAGTAGCTTATAACAGTATCTTGGGGTGCGTTTTTCTGGAAAAATCCAAAATTAGATTCTTAAATCCAAAAACGAATTCTGCGTTTCCTTACTGAACAGCTGCAGATTGCTCCAAGACCACTCGGACCATGGTGCATGGAAGGAACCTGAAGAATCCTTGCCCAAAGTGGATTCCTCGGCTCCTTTGATGCATCGTGATATGAGTGATCTTAATTTATTTAGTAAAAATATGCAAAATCCGTTTTTGGATTTAAGAACCAAATCTTGTATTCCCCCAAAGAAACGCACCCTAGGAATGCCTCCAGTAATATGATTTGTTCAGGCGCAAACTTAAAGTTTAAGTTTGAATGAAATGGGCTACACAAGAACTCCAGTCAGCTTAAACTAAGAAAGAAGATATGTGGTCTTACTCGGTTTGCCGAATCATCAGCAATGAAAGAAAAGGCGTTTCTTTAGGCACTTACAGTTCAGTTACTTATTTAAACACGATTTATGGGGTCGTTATATTTATATGGCTTCTTCGAACACTCAACCCTACTTCTTTAATCCTATACTTCTTTGTAGGCCGAGGATGAAGACACTGGTAAAAATGCCATGATGGCCTATACAATATCACAGGGAAATGACCGAAACCTGTTCTGGATCAATTCAACGAGCGGAGAATTGTTGCTCGTCGCTCCTTTAACTGTTACAGCTAACGACTCAGTTGTGCTCGTCGTGAGTGCTGTTGATATTTTCTCTACGAATTCGTCTCTCCGAGACACTGCAGTCGTGAAGATGACGTTTTATGGTAAGCAGAACTATTCTGTCTGATAAATGATTGGATTTTAGCCTAAAGAGCCTAAAGGTTCTTATGTTTTTGGTACTAAGAATTTTGGCTATGTAGGGTCTGAAATGGGTTCTTATTTTCTTAAGTGCAAAAGGCTCTTACTGCTGGTAAATGGGTGTGGTTCTTTTTTATGTAGCACAAACATTGCTATGCGTTCTATTGCAGAAGTCTCTTAGTCAAAATTTTCTTATTTTTACGGTAAAATCAAGAAAATAATGATTCTTATATAAATTCAGGATACTGAACAAGTTGTTAAATTTTGAATAGTTATAAGACTGAGGTTGTCGGATCAGTTTAATCGTAGCAGACTATTTTATGTATCTACAATAGAATGCTGCTCCTTCGAAACACTGAAATCTCGCCGGAATGTTCGGAAACTCCAATTAAAGACCGTTATGCAAAAGATGCTAAATTGTCACTCAGTAGCAGCACTTGACCTGAAATTGCTTTGAGAGTGGGACTAGATAAGAAATGAGAAACTATGATGTTGACATTAGTGTTATAACTCTATTTTGTCGTGCAATTAAGTCCAATTAGTTAGTATTCCTCACATTATTATTATTATTATTATTAAATCTATTTTCCAAATATTAATACATAATTTACTTCCTAACTTGTAGATGTGACGTCTCCAGCAGCCAGGGGTAGCTCTGTTGCTTTAATCTCTGGTGTTAGTGTGGGTGGTGTTCTCTTCATTGCCATCATAGCTGTTCTTAGCTTATGGTTATGGTAAGCCTATTTCGTTGAGATTAACGCTGACCTTACATTGAAGTTGTCCGTTTCGTAAACGGTCGATGCCATTTTCAAGACACAAATGTTTTAAACTACCAACGAATTTTTCTCTACTACGTTAAAGAAAAAAGAAAATTTGTAACTACCCAACCAGTATCGAACATGGAACCTCTGTTTCCTAATATTCCTCTTATACCACTACACTACAAGGTTGGTCAGCCAAATCTCCGCAAAATCTAATTACAAAACGTGACTTTCTCAAATATTAATGATAGAATTGCCCCAACCATCAAATAAAAGCTAACCGCTAGCAAACTAGTGTGAATATGAACAATTAAGAATTTGGTGAGTGCGTTTTACTCCATCAGCAAATTATAACCAGTTTCTACCTTGTCCAGGGCTAAACTAGAACAGATATGGCATCGTCCATTCTGAAATTCTTGGCAGATGGCGACTGGTATACAACATTTCGGAAGGGATTCCCTTTAGCTATCCTCTACCCATGCCTTATCAAACTTTATGAATTCGTGAAAGGTTGATGACCTAATATATTTGTTACAGTGACTTGATAATTTCAAAAGCGTACCATCCCTTATATAACTGATGGTTTGATACGTTCCAAAGATTGATGTAATCGTTATTCTGAGGATGTCATGATGTTTCGTAGCGCGCGGATACCTATTTTGGTCGAAGACCACAAGGTCACTTTCTGATGTCGATCCACCATGTTTGACTTGTATCGAATTTTTCACAGGGCCGGAAAACAATAAGCACTTAATGACTGGCCCCAAGGGAAACAGTGAGTTTTGTTTCCCCGAGACCCTCAGTGTAGGAACATTGAGAGGTCGAGGGAAATAAAAAAATTCACTGTTTCTCGCGGACCCGTCATCGAGTGCTTTGTTATACCTCTCATCTAAAAAACAGAAAAAAATGCGAAGAAATCGTTTGCTTGACGCCGGTTCGCTCACAAATTTGCCGCGGTTTCAAGGAGCACGACCTGATCACGTGCGAGTCGAAAGTTCAAGTTGTTGTTTCCCTATGGAGTTAGTGAGTTTTGTTCGTGAGTTTTGGGAGGTATAACAACAAGGTTAAACTGTTAAAGTGGCCCAAATGAACCAAGATATTATCCGGTTGAACATGGCGTCTCTTTCTTGGAATAAAAACGTTCGGATCGTGGACATTATTTTGATCGTCGTGCCAAACATAGCAAATAAACAAATGTTTGGCAAGGATTTGAACCGTTATAAATCCTTGAACCAGGATCGATGAAAGGAGTTATTTAGAATATTTTTTCATGGACATAATATTTGTTTTGTGTTTTTGTATTGTTCCCCTGACAGGAAAAGACGAAAAAGCCAAAGAAAATATGAAGCAATACCTGTAATTAATACAGACCAAACGCCCTTTGAATATGAACGAAAGATTTATACTGTAGGAGATACAGCAAGAAGATCGTCGTTTGAAATTTACCCTCCACTGAAGGATGCAGCTAGGTCACCTGGGACTCCTCCAGACTCTCAGATCAGCCTGGATCTCAGTACAATCGACTATGCGTTACATCCATTCTCCCTAGTATCTAAAAGACCGGGGTTGTCACATAGTGCACCTTCTACACCTACAAAGGAATTGAGACGCAGTCGAGGCTCTCACGTTAGCTTAGACCTGACCGAAATTAGATCTCAATCATTATCAGCTCTACCGTCTCCGGAACGAAAGGCCAAAGACGGAAGGTACAGCTTTGGATCTCATGTTAGCTTGGACTTAGGTCAAGAAGAACCTGAATTTATAACTGAAATCGCACAAGTTAGCCTTAAGCTTGGTGGAATGAAACACGAGAGTCAATTGATATCGCAATGTTCCTCAGAAGACTTGCGTACATCAACTGGTGGTTCTAAGGGACACATGGACCTTCCCAAAGATGATGCATCCTTTATATCGTCCATTGGGTCTTTGAGGTCTCTACAAACAAACCGTTCCCAAGGCTTTCAAAGTAAGCCCTCTATCGAGCTTGACACACATCAGGATGCAAGTGAGAAGCATTTCTCGACAGACAAACATCTTAGTGCCAGGAACTCAAGATATGCAAAACCAGCTACTCTGGAAGTGGAAGCAAGAGGTCAACCTCACATTCAAGAGATTTCCTCACTGCTCTCAGAAGATGTATCCGAGCCACGTGATGATTTAAGGACAAGTGTCAGTGGAAGATCTAGAGTCAGCTTAGGCTCCAGTCATTCCTTAGAAGCGGATACCACACATCAGGAATTAGAAATTCAACTTCTACCCGAGTCATGGCCGCAGAAATCGGAAGGTGTGCTTACTGCTTCACTACAAACACAGGAATCAGCAGCAATCATTTCTGAAACCGCACATGGTAGCCTTGAGCTTGTTGAAGGAGAACACGAGAGTCCATTGCTATCGCAACGTTCCTCAGAGGACTCGGGTACATCATCTGGCGGTTCTAAGGGAGACATTGACCTTCCTAGAGATAATGCATCCGTCATATCGTCCATTGGGTCTTTGAGGTCTCTACAAACGAAACGTTCCCAAGGCTTCCAAAGTGATCCCTCTATCGAACTTCAGACACATCAGGAAGCAATTGAGCAGCATGTCTCGACAGACAAACATCTTAGTGCCAGGAACTTAAGATATGCAAAACCAGCTACTCTAGAAGTGGAAGCCAGAGGTCAACCTCACGTTCAACAGATTTCCTCACTGCTCTCAGAAGATGTATCCGAACCACGTGATGATTTAAGGACAAGTGTCAGTGGAAGATCTAGAGTCAGCTTAGGCTCCGCTCATTCCTTAGAAGCGGATACCACACATCAGGAATCAGAAATTCAACTTCTACCCGAGTCATTGATGCAGAAATCGGAAGGTGTGCTTACTGCTTCACTGCAAACACAGGAATCAGCAGTAATCATTTCTGAAACCGTACATGGTAGCCTTGAGCTTGGTGAGGGAGACCACGAGAGTCAATTGCTATCGCAATGTTCCTCAGAGGACTCGCGTACATCATCTGGTGGTACTAAGGGAGACATTGACCTTCCTAGAGATAATGCATCCGTCATATCGTCCATCGGGTCTCGGAGGTCTCTACAAACAAAGCGTTCCCAAGGCTTCCAAAGTGATCCCTCTATCGAGCTTGAGACACGTCAGGATTCAAGTGAGCAGCATTTCTCAATAGACGAACATCTTCGTAGCAGGAACTTAAGACAGGCAAAACCAGCTACCCTAGAAGTGGAAGCCAGAGGTCAACCTCACGTTCAACAGATTTCCTCACTTCAATCGTGTAAGGAAACGCCACATGAGACTGTTTCTCTTCCTATCGTTATTGGAAATAAAGAAAACGTAACGCCAGAAGGTGATCGAAAACTTCCTATACAGAACTTGAATCGGTCTATTTCTCTCCCACATATGGCGTACTCTCCAACTGAAGAACCAGACCAGACAGTTAGAGCCGAGATTAGCACTGAAGCTGAAGAAGAATCTCTTTTCCTTCCCACTTTGGTTTCTGCTGCGATTCAATCATATGCAAAATTGCAGCCAGTCAAGTCCAAAAAGGCACGAATTCCTGTGAAGGTAAAGAAAGCTTTCAAGTTTATGACGCCTGAAAAAGAGCCCAAACGATATTCAAAGTTTCATCAAGAAGGTTCGTCGGATGATTCCAACGATACTACGCAAGAACCGGAAACGTTTACTCCACGAAGGTGGTTCCCTCTGTTTGGCCGTAAGAGGAAAATGTCTTCGTCACATCTTCCAACGACGGGACAACTCCCAGACGCCCTGCCTCAGGCACAAACAGAATTAGGTGCTTTACCTTTTCCTGATAGGTCCAGAGCTATGCGGCAATCAGTCGCCGAAATCATGCTCTCAGAAGATGTATCCGAAACACGTGATGATTCAAGGACGAGTGTCAGTGGAAGATCTATAGTCAGTTTAGGCTCCAGTCATTCCTTAGAAGCGGATACCCCACCTCAGGAATCCGAAATTCAACTTCGGCCGGAGTCATTGATGCAGAAATCGGAAGGTGTGCTTACTGCTTCTCTAAAAACACAGGAATCAGCAGCAATCATTACTGAAATCGCACATGGTAGCCTTGAGCTTGTTGAAGGAGAACACGAGAGTCCATTGCTATCGCAACGTTCCTCAGAGGACTCGGGTACATCATCTGGTGGTTCTAAGGGAGACATTGACCTTCCTAGAGATAATGCATCCGTCATATCGTCCATTGGGTCTTTGAGGTCTCTACAAACGAAACGTTCCCAAGGCTTCCAAAGTGATCCCTCTATCGAACTTCAGACACATCAGGAAGCAATTGAGCAGCATGTCTCGACAGACAAACATCTTAGTGCCAGGAACTTAAGATATGCAAAACCAGCTACTCTAGAAGTGGAAGCCAGAGGTCAACCTCACGTTCAACAGATTTCCTCACTGCTCTCAGAAGATGTATCCGAACCACGTGATGATTTAAGGACAAGTGTCAGTGGAAGATCTAGAGTCAGCTTAGGCTCCGCTCATTCCTTAGAAGCGGATACCACACATCAGGAATCAGAAATTCAACTTCTACCCGAGTCATTGATGCAGAAATCGGAAGGTGTGCTTACTGCTTCACTGCAAACACAGGAATCAGCAGTAATCATTTCTGAAACCGTACATGGTAGCCTTGAGCTTGGTGAGGGAGACCACGAGAGTCAATTGCTATCGCAATGTTCCTCAGAGGACTCGCGTACATCATCTGGTGGTACTAAGGGAGACATTGACCTTCCTAGAGATAATGCATCCGTCATATCGTCCATCGGGTCTCGGAGGTCTCTACAAACAAAGCGTTCCCAAGGCTTCCAAAGTGATCCCTCTATCGAGCTTGAGACACGTCAGGATTCAAGTGAGCAGCATTTCTCAATAGACGAACATCTTCGTAGCAGGAACTTAAGACAGGCAAAACCAGCTACCCTAGAAGTGGAAGCCAGAGGTCAACCTCACGTTCAACAGATTTCCTCACTTCAATCGTGTAAGGAAACGCCACATGAGACTGTTTCTCTTCCTATCGTTATTGGAAATAAAGAAAACGTAACGCCAGAAGGTGATCGAAAACTTCCTATACAGAACTTGAATCGGTCTATTTCTCTCCCACATATGGCGTACTCTCCAACTGAAGAACCAGACCAGACAGTTAGAGCCGAGATTAGCACTGAAGCTGAAGAAGAATCTCTTTTCCTTCCCACTTTGGTTTCTGCTGCGATTCAATCATATGCAAAATTGCAGCCAGTCAAGTCCAAAAAGGCACGAATTCCTGTGAAGGTAAAGAAAGCTTTCAAGTTTATGACGCCTGAAAAAGAGCCCAAACGATATTCAAAGTTTCATCAAGAAGGTTCGTCGGATGATTCCAACGATACTACGCAAGAACCGGAAACGTTTACTCCACGAAGGTGGTTCCCTCTGTTTGGCCGTAAGAGGAAAATGTCTTCGTCACATCTTCCAACGACGGGACAACTCCCAGACGCCCTGCCTCAGGCACAAACAGAATTAGGTGCTTTACCTTTTCCTGATAGGTCCAGAGCTATGCGGCAATCAGTCGCCGAAATCATGCTCTCAGAAGATGTATCCGAAACACGTGATGATTCAAGGACGAGTGTCAGTGGAAGATCTATAGTCAGTTTAGGCTCCAGTCATTCCTTAGAAGCGGATACCCCACCTCAGGAATCCGAAATTCAACTTCGGCCGGAGTCATTGATGCAGAAATCGGAAGGTGTGCTTACTGCTTCTCTAAAAACACAGGAATCAGCAGCAATCATTACTGAAATCGCACATGGTAGCCTTGAGCTTGTTGAAGGAGAACACGAGAGTCCATTGCTATCGCAACGTTCCTCAGAGGACTCGGGTACATCATCTGGTGGTTCTAAGGGAGACATTGACCTTCCTAGAGATAATGCATCCGTCATATCGTCCATTGGGTCTTTGAGGTCTCTACAAACGAAACGTTCCCAAGGCTTCCAAAGTGATCCCTCTATCGAACTTCAGACACATCAGGAAGCAATTGAGCAGCATGTCTCGACAGACAAACATCTTAGTGCCAGGAACTTAAGATATGCAAAACCAGCTACTCTAGAAGTGGAAGCCAGAGGTCAACCTCACGTTCAACAGATTTCCTCACTGCTCTCAGAAGATGTATCCGAACCACGTGATGATTTAAGGACAAGTGTCAGTGGAAGATCTAGAGTCAGCTTAGGCTCCGCTCATTCCTTAGAAGCGGATACCACACATCAGGAATCAGAAATTCAACTTCTACCCGAGTCATTGATGCAGAAATCGGAAGGTGTGCTTACTGCTTCACTGCAAACACAGGAATCAGCAGTAATCATTTCTGAAACCGTACATGGTAGCCTTGAGCTTGGTGAGGGAGACCACGAGAGTCAATTGCTATCGCAATGTTCCTCAGAGGACTCGCGTACATCATCTGGTGGTACTAAGGGAGACATTGACCTTCCTAGAGATAATGCATCCGTCATATCGTCCATCGGGTCTCGGAGGTCTCTACAAACAAAGCGTTCCCAAGGCTTCCAAAGTGATCCCTCTATCGAGCTTGAGACACGTCAGGATTCAAGTGAGCAGCATTTCTCAATAGACGAACATCTTCGTAGCAGGAACTTAAGACAGGCAAAACCAGCTACCCTAGAAGTGGAAGCCAGAGGTCAACCTCACGTTCAACAGATTTCCTCACTTCAATCGTGTAAGGAAACGCCACATGAGACTGTTTCTCTTCCTATCGTTATTGGAAATAAAGAAAACGTAACGCCAGAAGGTGATCGAAAACTTCCTATACAGAACTTGAATCGGTCTATTTCTCTCCCACATATGGCGTACTCTCCAACTGAAGAACCAGACCAGACAGTTAGAGCCGAGATTAGCACTGAAGCTGAAGAAGAATCTCTTTTCCTTCCCACTTTGGTTTCTGCTGCGATTCAATCATATGCAAAATTGCAGCCAGTCAAGTCCAAAAAGGCACGAATTCCTGTGAAGGTAAAGAAAGCTTTCAAGTTTATGACGCCTGAAAAAGAGCCCAAACGATATTCAAAGTTTCATCAAGAAGGTTCGTCGGATGATTCCAACGATACTACGCAAGAACCGGAAACGTTTACTCCACGAAGGTGGTTCCCTCTGTTTGGCCGTAAGAGGAAAATGTCTTCGTCACATCTTCCAACGACGGGACAACTCCCAGACGCCCTGCCTCAGGCACAAACAGAATTAGGTGCTTTACCTTTTCCTGATAGGTCCAGAGCTATGCGGCAATCAGTCGCCGAAATCATGCTCTCAGAAGATGTATCCGAAACACGTGATGATTCAAGGACGAGTGTCAGTGGAAGATCTATAGTCAGTTTAGGCTCCAGTCATTCCTTAGAAGCGGATACCCCACCTCAGGAATCCGAAATTCAACTTCGGCCGGAGTCATTGATGCAGAAATCGGAAGGTGTGCTTACTGCTTCTCTAAAAACACAGGAATCAGCAGCAATCATTACTGAAACCGCACATGGAAGCCTTGAGCTTGGTGAAGGAGAACATAAGATTCCAATGTTATCGCAATGTTCCTCAGAGGACTCGCGTACATCATCTGGTGCTACTAAGAGAGACATTGACCTTCCTAGAGATGATGCATCCCTTATATCCTCCGTTGGGTCTTGGAGGTCTCTACGAACAAACCATTCTCGAGGCTTCCAAAGTGATCCCTCTATCGAGCTTGAGACACATCAGGAAGCAAGTGAGCAGCATTTCTCGACAGACGAACATCTTAGTCGCAGAAACCTAAGATATGCAAAACCATCTACTCTAGAAGTGGAAGCAAGAGGTCAACCTCACGTTCAACAGATTTCCTCACTGCTCTCAGAGGATGTATCCGAACCACGTGATGATTTAAGGACAAGTGCCAGTGGAAGATCTAGAGTCAGCTTAGGCTCCGCTCATTCCTTAGAAGCGGATACCACACATCAGAAATCCGAAATTCAACTTTTGTCGGAGTCATTAATGCAGAAATCGGAAGGTGTGCTTACTGCTTCTTTAAAAACACAGGAGTCAGCAGCAATCATTACTGAAACCGCCCATGGTAGCCTTGAGCTTGGTGAAGGAGACCACGAGAGTCCATTGTTATCGCAATGTTCCTCAGAGGACTCGCGCACATCTTCTGGTGGTTCTAAGGGAGACATTGACCTTCCTAGAGATGATGCATCCTTCATATCGTCCATCGGGTCTTGGAGGTCTCTACAAACAAAGCGTTCCCAAGGCTTCCAAAGTGATCCCTCTATCGAGCTTGAGACACATCAGGATTCAAGTGAGGAGTATTTCTCGACAGACGAATTTCCTGGTCGCGAGAGCTTACAATCATCTAAACCAGATACTTTAGAATTGATTGCCAAAGATCAACCTCTCGGAGTTGAATTGTTACCGTCCGGCTCTTTCGAGGACGATTCCCTTTCCCTTCAGCAAAGAAGCATTGAAGATCAAGGAAAATCTCAATCATCATACACAAAATTCCAACAGGAAGGTTCGTCTGATGATTCTGAAGATACTACGCAAGAACCAGAAACCTCTACTCCACGAAAGACGTTTCTTTTGTTTGGCCGTAAGAAGAAAAAGTCTTGGTCACGCGGTAAGACTTCGAGGCATGATTTTCTGCCTCAAACAGAATCGGGTGTTTTGCCTGCTCCTTCTACCCAACAAGAGAATGCGCCAGAAGAAACTACCTCATCGGTTTCTCACCACTCACCTTCAAGGGGTTATACTCTATCTTTGCAGTCAAGCGAACATAGAGCAGCATCGACGTCTTCCTTCAGTACGACGCGTACCGTCGAATGGACAGCTCAGTCCCAAACCTCGGATACTGATCTATCAGCGTTGCAACCACCTATGGATACTTCAGACCCTGAACGTTTGCAGCATACAAGCCCGTCGTGGTTAAGACGAGACAGTAGAGAACCGCTATCCTTGGACGAGACCCATGACAATGCAGCTGACGCCTCTTCCTCAGGGCTTTTGAGTCCGGAACTGTCGAGTCCACGAGTTTCAAGGCAAGAAACATCGCATGCGGGTATTTGCATGCTGATGTCTAGTGTGAATAACCTACTCATCAGCGGAGAACGACCTCGCGATGACGACACAAGCAGTGAGTCAGATAAGTAGCAATGAAGAGAACTGTATTACAGTTGATCCAACTGTAAGGCTACCTATACAGCTTCCGTCTACTTTCCGAAGAGGAGAATTAACGTTTATCCTTGTGGAATGATGCCCGGTTCATACTAGAATTCTGCAAAAATTGTAAATGGATATTTAAATGCGGTGACGCGTAGATATGGAGTGCCTCAATGATAATATTGTTATTTTAACGCCAGCAGTAACTTTTGGGTAATGAAGTCACAAAAACCGTGATAAATTACTAGATACTTTTCTGTGATGAGTTTCGATGAGATAATATGCATGCGCGGACTCCCTAGTTAGATTTCTTTTACACTGTCGCTGACGCCCTCTCAGTAATCGAGCTACAGTTGTTTTTAAGATAATAGTTGCAGTCTTATGATTAATGATGCATGGGATCAGAGTCAGTCATTGTCGGTAGCAAGGCAAATTGCACATACAAGGACGTTTATGTAGGTAAATAAACAGGATATTAAACACAGATTGGCGAAACACAGATGTTTATGCAGATCTTCTTTTTTCTTAATATTTATTACCATAAAAGCCAGTAATCTTTGTCTACTATTCCAACCCAACATTACAACTTCAATTGCTATTTCGCTTTAAAGCGCATACAACGTACAAGATTGTGTCCATTTTAAAATTATTCATACATTACTATTATAAAACGCTTTTCATCTGTTCTACAAACTATTTAGGATTAAGACTGACTGAGTAGTGTCCAACTTCGAGCTTCATTTGTTTTAGTGCTTCATTGTTGTTTGAAACGAAAGGGAAGTGGATACTCGGACAAAAGAAAAGCAGGTTTTCTGAGTCAGGATTATTCAATGAGCTCAGACCATAAAAACATGTCAGTAATTTATACTCGATGGCAATAGCTGGAAACCTGGGAGTTAATAACTGACACATCCAGGATTGCTTAGTCTAAAAAGAGACAATATTTTTAATAGTGGAGTTCTTTGTAATGGTCATTAAAAAGTTGCACAACTTTGGAATTCATATTTATCTACATTCAGTTACTTATATTATTAGTCTGGTAACGTTTGGCGTGATATGAAATTATGAATGGAATCCCAGTCATCACAAATGAGGGCACCATATGAGTGTTCTCGAAATACTACTTTTGCTAGTTCCTTTTGTCCAGCGTGCAGAAATACTGCTTTTTGTTATGCTTTACATAAGCCGGATTCAAGTTCTTAGCTCCAGAAGGGGGAACCCTTGATACGTTACATTGGTTGAAACATCTTACACGGTTTTGTGAATATTTTTGATGTCCAATAGTCTTCACCCTGAAACTGACATGCATTATCATTGACTTGAGCTTCGCCACTGGTTCTTGTTGATGATTCTTGGAAACAACAACTTGAATGTGTTTTCTTTTTCTTTTCTTTATCTATCTTCGTGATTTTCCAGGGCACTTGATTCGTAGAAGATCCTTGATTTGGTCAGGTTGAATCGCGTAGTTGAAGATGTAGAAGTCATCGACAAAACCTCTAAGATACCTTCCACCCAGGTCAAAGCTTCCTAAACAGGCCTTGTAGCCCCAAAAGTCGTCGAGAGGTCCACTGCCTCGTGAGCTGCCCTGTAGTACTCCATTCACATACACCTGTAAAATAAGCGAGTCAAGCGGCACATTAGACTGTTCACACTTGGTGGCCGAGCACTGGTGCCCGGGAACCGGCACTAAGTAGCGTTGCGTTCAGACACTGGGTACTGCAACTACTCAAGTCGAGACCTTGTACCCGGGCACGTGCACTGTGCCCGAATTCAGGTTTTAGAACTTGGGAAAAAGCTGTGTTCACATTAGTGCCCAGCGAGAGTTGTACTCGGCACCGTGCTCAAGCCCCAAGTATGAACATAGCCTTATAGTGAAATAATTCTGGTAACCAAATCTGAAAGTAGCCAGGATCACCACTTCCGGTCATGCGATCGTTTCGTTTTGGAGAGGAGTAGTGCCTAACACTAACAGCGACTTTTTGGTGACTATGAAACTAATTTGATCCGCTATCTATTAAGGTTTTTTTTTTCTCTCGAGTTGGTACAAGAATGCTATTAGGGGGCGAATCTGGGCAGTTTGTTGTTCTTGTTGTAATCAAGTCATTTCAGTTATTTGAAGGAATACCTAATTAGTATAGAGGAATACATATTATCATTGAATTTCTTTAACCTTATCACCCAATCACCTCTGAATCACGAAATTAACGTGGAGGAATCTCTTTATTCTTATTTATTGAATCTAGGAAATCTAATGATATGGGTTAAATTCATAGACTCTTTACTAATTTCTCTAACATTCACGCTCGAATTGCAAACTGAAGGCAAAAGATTTGTAGAGAATCATACTTGAAGTCTTCCAGCTTTATTTCAAGTTCCTCACCCTTGTTGTCAACAAAGTTCTCCGAAAAAGCTGCATTGATGTCCATTATTAGAACGTAACATATTCCCAGACAAAAATCTTTTACGATAGCCATGTTTGTCTTTCTAAACAATAGAAATTAAACGCAAATCATTTTCACTGTTTCCGTGTATTGTTGCATGTGGCCGCCATGATGGCAAGTATTAAAATTAAGCTACCTTCGCCTCCCCTGAGTTGCTGTCGTATGAGCCAATTAGATGTGTCCAGACATCGGGCTTGATGATGTCATTAGTGAAAACAGTGAACACTGGATTCTGGAAGCGGTTTCGATGAAACCAACGGACCCTGCCGTCATCAATTTCAAAATGATATCCTCCTGTTGAGAGAAATGCAATGGAGAAGGTTTATCCGATAACCAGGTCAAAAACTCCAAACTTCCATGTGAGTTCCCGTAAGTATATTTGTGTAGTAAACGTCTTTGACCCTTTCCGGTATGGAGAGGTAAGGTATAAGTTTAGACACGGTCTTTATTCAAGACTAGTGAACTTGTTACAACCAAGATAAGTCTACGCCTTCCTCCGGCTTCTAATCTTCCAATCTGATTGGCTAATTTGCCGTTGTCGATAAGAGTCCAGACAATGCTGCTCTCGTCAATGTGTCACGCTCTTGGCCACGCTCTCAAAAAACATTTTCTTTGACGTTGAAATTGTGGCAAAAAACAAATCGAATGTGGTTTAGTGGCTGCGCCTCGCGAGTCTACAACATTTTGACCACTGTGATGACGCATGTCGTTGTCGATAAGAGTACAGACAACGCTAAACCACATTCGATTTGCTAAACATAAACACACAACAAGAGAAAGCCTTCGTTACCCATTATTTGTCCAATGTTCATCACTCGAGCAGTGCTAAAGACGGAGTGGTATCCACGAGACGAGCCAACAAGGTTTACCCAGGACGCCACAGTTATACCAGTACGGGGCTTGCCTCTGAATGTTGTATCCTCCAGCAGGATGTCGCCAGACTTCCCTAGACTTGCATAGTGCCCGCAGACTCCTCTGTGTGGGGCGATAAAGGCGCCCTTGTCCAAGAAGGCGTTGTTACCTTTGTCAGACTCATCCAATACCACTTGGTTTTCCCACTTTTCGAATCCTAAGTGCAGAACTACGAAAAGAAGAAATGCTTCGTNACATGGAAGCCTTGAGCTTGGTGAAGGAGAACATAAGATTCCAATGTTATCGCAATGTTCCTCAGAGGACTCGCGTACATCATCTGGTGCTACTAAGAGAGACATTGACCTTCCTAGAGATGATGCATCCCTTATATCCTCCGTTGGGTCTTGGAGGTCTCTACGAACAAACCATTCTCGAGGCTTCCAAAGTGATCCCTCTATCGAGCTTGAGACACATCAGGAAGCAAGTGAGCAGCATTTCTCGACAGACGAACATCTTAGTCGCAGAAACCTAAGATATGCAAAACCATCTACTCTAGAAGTGGAAGCAAGAGGTCAACCTCACGTTCAACAGATTTCCTCACTGCTCTCAGAGGATGTATCCGAACCACGTGATGATTTAAGGACAAGTGCCAGTGGAAGATCTAGAGTCAGCTTAGGCTCCGCTCATTCCTTAGAAGCGGATACCACACATCAGAAATCCGAAATTCAACTTTTGTCGGAGTCATTTATGCAGAAATCGGAAGGTGTGCTTACTGCTTCTTTAAAAACACAGGAGTCAGCAGCAATCATTACTGAAACCGCCCATGGTAGCCTTGAGCTTGGTGAAGGAGACCACGAGAGTCCATTGTTATCGCAATGTTCCTCAGAGGACTCGCGCACATCTTCTGGTGGTTCTAAGGGAGACATTGACCTTCCTAGAGATGATGCATCCTTCATATCGTCCATCGGGTCTTGGAGGTCTCTACAAACAAAGCGTTCCCAAGGCTTCCAAAGTGATCCCTCTATCGAGCTTGAGACACATCAGGATTCAAGTGAGGAGTATTTCTCGACAGACGAATTTCCTGGTCGCGAGAGCTTACAATCATCTAAACCAGATACTTTAGAATTGATTGCCAAAGATCAACCTCTCGGAGTTGAATTGTTACCGTCCGGCTCTTTCGAGGACGATTCCCTTTCCCTTCAGCAAAGAAGCATTGAAGATCAAGGAAAATCTCAATCATCATACACAAAATTCCAACAGGAAGGTTCGTCTGATGATTCTGAAGATACTACGCAAGAACCAGAAACCTCTACTCCACGAAAGACGTTTCTTTTGTTTGGCCGTAAGAAGAAAAAGTCTTGGTCACGCGGTAAGACTTCGAGGCATGATTTTCTGCCTCAAACAGAATCGGGTGTTTTGCCTGCTCCTTCTACCCAACAAGAGAATGCGCCAGAAGAAACTACCTCATCGGTTTCTCACCACTCACCTTCAAGGGGTTATACTCTATCTTTGCAGTCAAGCGAACATAGAGCAGCATCGACGTCTTCCTTCAGTACGACGCGTACCGTCGAATGGACAGCTCAGTCCCAAACCTCGGATACTGATCTATCAGCGTTGCAACCACCTATGGATACTTCAGACCCTGAACGTTTGCAGCATACAAGCCCGTCGTGGTTAAGACGAGACAGTAGAGAACCGCTATCCTTGGACGAGACCCATGACAATGCAGCTGACGCCTCTTCCTCAGGGCTTTTGAGTCCGGAACTGTCGAGTCCACGAGTTTCAAGGCAAGAAACATCGCATGCGGGTATTTGCATGCTGATGTCTAGTGTGAATAACCTACTCATCAGCGGAGAACGACCTCGCGATGACGACACAAGCAGTGAGTCAGATAAGTAGCAATGAAGAGAACTGTATTACAGTTGATCCAACTGTAAGGCTACCTATACAGCTTCCGTCTACTTTCCGAAGAGGAGAATTAACGTTTATCCTTGTGGAATGATGCCCGGTTCATACTAGAATTCTGCAAAAATTGTAAATGGATATTTAAATGCGGTGACGCGTAGATATGGAGTGCCTCAATGATAATATTGTTATTTTAACGCCAGCAGTAACTTTTGGGTAATGAAGTCACAAAAACCGTGATAAATTACTAGATACTTTTCTGTGATGAGTTTCGATGAGATAATATGCATGCGCGGACTCCCTAGTTAGATTTCTTTTACACTGTCGCTGACGCCCTCTCAGTAATCGAGCTACAGTTGTTTTTAAGATAATAGTTGCAGTCTTATGATTAATGATGCATGGGATCAGAGTCAGTCATTGTCGGTAGCAAGGCAAATTGCACATACAAGGACGTTTATGTAGGTAAATAAACAGGATATTAAACACAGATTGGCGAAACACAGATGTTTATGCAGATCTTCTTTTTTCTTAATATTTATTACCATAAAAGCCAGTAATCTTTGTCTACTATTCCAACCCAACATTACAACTTCAATTGCTATTTCGCTTTAAAGCGCATACAACGTACAAGATTGTGTCCATTTTAAAATTATTCATACATTACTATTATAAAACGCTTTTCATCTGTTCTACAAACTATTTAGGATTAAGACTGACTGAGTAGTGTCCAACTTCGAGCTTCATTTGTTTTAGTGCTTCATTGTTGTTTGAAACGAAAGGGAAGTGGATACTCGGACAAAAGAAAAGCAGGTTTTCTGAGTCAGGATTATTCAATGAGCTCAGACCATAAAAACATGTCAGTAATTTATACTCGATGGCAATAGCTGGAAACCTGGGAGTTAATAACTGACACATCCAGGATTGCTTAGTCTAAAAAGAGACAATATTTTTAATAGTGGAGTTCTTTGTAATGGTCATTAAAAAGTTGCACAACTTTGGAATTCATATTTATCTACATTCAGTTACTTATATTATTAGTCTGGTAACGTTTGGCGTGATATGAAATTATGAATGGAATCCCAGTCATCACAAATGAGGGCACCATATGAGTGTTCTCGAAATACTACTTTTGCTAGTTCCTTTTGTCCAGCGTGCAGAAATACTGCTTTTTGTTATGCTTTACATAAGCCGGATTCAAGTTCTTAGCTCCAGAAGGGGGAACCCTTGATACGTTACATTGGTTGAAACATCTTACACGGTTTTGTGAATATTTTTGATGTCCAATAGTCTTCACCCTGAAACTGACATGCATTATCATTGACTTGAGCTTCGCCACTGGTTCTTGTTGATGATTCTTGGAAACAACAACTTGAATGTGTTTTCTTTTTCTTTTCTTTATCTATCTTCGTGATTTTCCAGGGCACTTGATTCGTAGAAGATCCTTGATTTGGTCAGGTTGAATCGCGTAGTTGAAGATGTAGAAGTCATCGACAAAACCTCTAAGATACCTTCCACCCAGGTCAAAGCTTCCTAAACAGGCCTTGTAGCCCCAAAAGTCGTCGAGAGGTCCACTGCCTCGTGAGCTGCCCTGTAGTACTCCATTCACATACACCTGTAAAATAAGCGAGTCAAGCGGCACATTAGACTGTTCACACTTGGTGGCCGAGCACTGGTGCCCGGGAACCGGCACTAAGTAGCGTTGCGTTCAGACACTGGGTACTGCAACTACTCAAGTCGAGACCTTGTACCCGGGCACGTGCACTGTGCCCGAATTCAGGTTTTAGAACTTGGGAAAAAGCTGTGTTCACATTAGTGCCCAGCGAGAGTTGTACTCGGCACCGTGCTCAAGCCCCAAGTATGAACATAGCCTTATAGTGAAATAATTCTGGTAACCAAATCTGAAAGTAGCCAGGATCACCACTTCCGGTCATGCGATCGTTTCGTTTTGGAGAGGAGTAGTGCCTAACACTAACAGCGACTTTTTGGTGACTATGAAACTAATTTGATCCGCTATCTATTAAGGTTTTTTTTTTCTCTCGAGTTGGTACAAGAATGCTATTAGGGGGCGAATCTGGGCAGTTTGTTGTTCTTGTTGTAATCAAGTCATTTCAGTTATTTGAAGGAATACCTAATTAGTATAGAGGAATACATATTATCATTGAATTTCTTTAACCTTATCACCCAATCACCTCTGAATCACGAAATTAACGTGGAGGAATCTCTTTATTCTTATTTATTGAATCTAGGAAATCTAATGATATGGGTTAAATTCATAGACTCTTTACTAATTTCTCTAACATTCACGCTCGAATTGCAAACTGAAGGCAAAAGATTTGTAGAGAATCATACTTGAAGTCTTCCAGCTTTATTTCAAGTTCCTCACCCTTGTTGTCAACAAAGTTCTCCGAAAAAGCTGCATTGATGTCCATTATTAGAACGTAACATATTCCCAGACAAAAATCTTTTACGATAGCCATGTTTGTCTTTCTAAACAATAGAAATTAAACGCAAATCATTTTCACTGTTTCCGTGTATTGTTGCATGTGGCCGCCATGATGGCAAGTATTAAAATTAAGCTACCTTCGCCTCCCCTGAGTTGCTGTCGTATGAGCCAATTAGATGTGTCCAGACATCGGGCTTGATGATGTCATTAGTGAAAACAGTGAACACTGGATTCTGGAAGCGGTTTCGATGAAACCAACGGACCCTGCCGTCATCAATTTCAAAATGATATCCTCCTGTTGAGAGAAATGCAATGGAGAAGGTTTATCCGATAACCAGGTCAAAAACTCCAAACTTCCATGTGAGTTCCCGTAAGTATATTTGTGTAGTAAACGTCTTTGACCCTTTCCGGTATGGAGAGGTAAGGTATAAGTTTAGACACGGTCTTTATTCAAGACTAGTGAACTTGTTACAACCAAGATAAGTCTACGCCTTCCTCCGGCTTCTAATCTTCCAATCTGATTGGCTAATTTGCCGTTGTCGATAAGAGTCCAGACAATGCTGCTCTCGTCAATGTGTCACGCTCTTGGCCACGCTCTCAAAAAACATTTTCTTTGACGTTGAAATTGTGGCAAAAAACAAATCGAATGTGGTTTAGTGGCTGCGCCTCGCGAGTCTACAACATTTTGACCACTGTGATGACGCATGTCGTTGTCGATAAGAGTACAGACAACGCTAAACCACATTCGATTTGCTAAACATAAACACACAACAAGAGAAAGCCTTCGTTACCCATTATTTGTCCAATGTTCATCACTCGAGCAGTGCTAAAGACGGAGTGGTATCCACGAGACGAGCCAACAAGGTTTACCCAGGACGCCACAGTTATACCAGTACGGGGCTTGCCTCTGAATGTTGTATCCTCCAGCAGGATGTCGCCAGACTTCCCTAGACTTGCATAGTGCCCGCAGACTCCTCTGTGTGGGGCGATAAAGGCGCCCTTGTCCAAGAAGGCGTTGTTACCTTTGTCAGACTCATCCAATACCACTTGGTTTTCCCACTTTTCGAATCCTAAGTGCAGAACTACGAAAAGAAGAAATGCTTCGTATTTGCAGTGTTCTTTTACTTACCATATCGTCTCGACAAGGCGATAATCTCTAAGCTCTTCCGTTGATTCTAAAACGTACTTGCTCTATAACTGAGGAAAATATTTCCAAAGAATTTTAAGAGACCCATTGTTACCGTACCCAATTTCGCAATTACCTAATCGGAAGCCGGGTCTACTGTCCTGATATCCTGCGACATTAAGTCGCTGACCTGATATGGTCATTTTTGGGAATTTGGTAACGATGAATACCTAATCGTACCTTTTCTTGATACGCTATGGCGGCATATCAAGCTCGTTTGGTCTCGCGTGTTTATTTTAGCTTGACTTCTCGCCAACATGCGAACCATGGCTCGACCAATGCCACCGAAGCGCATCAAAAAAATACGACTACGCAAAAAATCGTCCAGGTGCCAGAAACAACATGAAATCACTCAGATCCTACACGTACCTGGACACCCTGGAAGGTAACAGGAAATGGTCTCAAATTCTCTGCCTGACTTAGGACAGGCCACACCATCACACATCCGGGACCGCATTCTTTTGCCAACACCACACGTGACAGAACACGTTGAGTAGGGGGACCATTCTAATGCTTCAGCTATGTAACAAGAAGAGCCGCATATCAAATTGCGTTATGTATAGAACCCTTCGATATTATTTCCTCTTCTACCATAGACGAGCCATTGATCCTTTACATACCAATTTACCGTGCGTTTTGAAGTAATTTCCCTTGTCAACGAACATCAATACGTCAATTGCAGTTGCATAAACAAAAATTCATCTAACTTAAATTTCACATTTACAGCCTGATTATGAGCAGGATAAGCTGGGTCTGACTGATTATGCGTATCAAAAATAAATAAAATCCAGATAAAGAGGAAACTAAGAATCCTGAAAAAAATGCACGATTAAGCCTGAGGCACATAATAATAGACTATATTCGCGATGTCCAAACGCAACGAACGCACTAAAACGAACTCAAGAGAGTTAAGGAGCAACCAAAAGAAATGTTTGCAAAGAAATATAAAAACTAACACAATAATAATTATAGAAAGAATGATATTATATCTATGCCCCACAAAATTCTGTCTTTGATTACCAGCAAACTTTGACTGTGAGGCTCAGTTGTTTTTACTTCTTCCATCAGGTAAAGAGAAATTTGGTCAAGATTGTGTAGCAATGAAACAGCGGCGATTTCCTGGTATATCAGGAAGCGGTTGCTTCATAAAGTATTGAACGGCCTAAAAGCCAAATACCACGGAAAGAGATAGGATTTAGGCTCTACAGATGAATTGAACCATGATGGTAATGTAGTTATAAAGCGAATCAGAACAATACATACTGTGTTATCAGACTCGAAAGCTGCGCATTTTCGGGTAAGAAGTTGCCCTTCTACTCCTATAACCTGTCAAATATACGTGCAATTCTTATGCACTGGGCAGCGGGTGTTGAAAAAAGATTACAACCAGTCCACTGACGGTTCTACCTGTCGTGTATTCATAAAAAGGCCGACGACTCAGTGAAACGAAATCAAGATGGCAGTATAAACTGTTTAATTTCGAAAACCAGAACCTCGTGTACAAGATCAAATATGGAAAGCGGATCACGTGATATACTCTGCTTGTAGTTTTATAGGGAACCCAAATGGCAAAATCTGACACGACCGATCGAGTGAATATCATTATGTTCGTTCATTGATACGTATTCATTGATAAAAAGTGGAACATTTTTGAACTGAATTCAGCTGATTAACTAGATAGGCGGAAGAAAGAAGAATTTTGTCTGAGATTATGGCGTACGTACCTACAAATGACCTAACTCAGCAATTTGTTTTGCGACTGTTAAATTTATATCAATTGCCAAATAAAGGCTGCAAAAATCATTTCTTTGCGTGGATCATACACATTTTTATAAACAGTGGCATAACGTACCAGAACAACTGCTCGTGCATGGGACAACTTGAGTTTGTACTCCGGGGGCTGTACAGTCCTCCGCACTGCATCTCCGGTACCGCTTCCTAACACCCGATCCACAGGTCACGGTACACTTGCTGAATGGACCCCACTGAAACGTTCCATGGTTGTGAATGGTACTTGCCTTGCTGCTGCTGAGGTCGTAAGCCTGCTGCCTGCTTAACACTGCTGCTTGTTGGTGACTATCACTGATGGGTAGCGGAAAATCTGGATGTACATGCAACCGTATGGGCAATTCAGAGACAGGAAAGTGGCTATTCTGGTTTGTTACATTGATGTGAGTTTGGATGTGGTATGGTCGAGGAGCGCTTTCATTCAATTCTACCCCTTTTGTGTGGGAGTGTTCATGAGCCGTTAGAGGTGGATTCATTTTTGTCTTTCCAGTTGTATGTGTCTCTGGTGGTCTTGCCACATCCACAACAGGAGATTTGCCTTTCGTTGACGCCGTAGCTTTACCTTGAACGTTTTGATAGGGTTTAGCTTTGACAGGTTCTTCGGCAACCTTGAAAGACGATTCACTGTTATCACTAACCTGAACTGGCTTGAAGCTCTGACCTTAAAACAACCAAAATAGTGAGTATTATTTCTCAATCCACAGTTGGGATACCAAACTGGTGTTTTATAGCTAAGTCACGAAAAACGCAATATATTTTTCAAAACTTCTAAGACTGACCTAAATGATCACAGCCATAAAGCTCTGCACGCATACAGATGTGTACGCCATACCACGCCAATGGATGGATTCTAACATACCGAGCTGTGATTGGGTGTTTTAAATGACGCACTGCTATGGTTTTGCTGTCGTCGTTACCAACAAATGCCTGCCAAAAAGAAAAAAAAAAAACAAAAAAACAGTGTATCCGTACTTATCCTGACGATTAATTGACGATACTTAACGCCGATTTGTGTAACATGAAAGGTCAAGAAGTAGTGATGGTCTCCTTGGATGGGAGAGTAGCAGAGTACTACTTGTGTTTCGTAACGTTCGCCGTTACCTATATGCTTCCGGGTGGAAATGGTACTGTTTTAATAAAGATCCTTGACAAGGAGCACAACACAATAACCCCTAGCCAGCTTGAGAACCCGGAGCCCTTGGTCGAACTGTTAGGTCACTGCCCCTGTCCACATCAGTTTGTGAGCTGGTTCGATTCGGCTAACGTGNATATGCTTCCGGGTGGAAATGGTGCTGTTTTAATAAAGATCCTTGACAAGGAGCACAACACAATAACCCCCTGCCAGCTTGAGAACCCGGACCACTTGATCGAACTGTTAGGTCACTGCCCCTGTCCACATCAGTTTGTGAGCTGGTGTCGCACATAACCAAAAAAGACAGATTCGGCTAACGTGTTGCACAACACACACAAATTGCACAACTGTAACCTCCCAAATGAACTATCAGGTGGTCTGAATTGGACAAGGATGTCAACGCGTTCGCTGAATCCCTCTAAGTTGAATTTCCCTGTTACCTTTTGCCTGTTATCTTCGGTGTAGTTTGTCCACTTTAGTCCATTGGCGCTGTATGTTATTCTATAACTCATTACCCAGCGGTCGTCAGTTACTTGTCCTTGCGTTCCCATACCTAAATAATAAAATAAGAGATTTCCATTTTACTGCTTGTACGATGAACAGCCGACCAGCCTTTTGGTTTAAAACGAAATAATCATTCTAAAAGCTAGGCATCTTAAACAATAGTACAGACAGTATTGGGCTCCTTTAAAAATCAAGTTTGTGGCATTCTTGAATGGAACTGAATCCTAACACGCATTTCCCCTGTGATCAGATTTCCCTTCATTGATGCTTTATTCGTCGCTGCTTCTTTTGGCTAGTATTTTAACAAGCAAAGAAAGAAACCATGGCCGGTATTTCATAGAAAGACCACACAAACATGACAAGATGCATGAGTAACTGAGGAAATTAATGTCATTGAGCTTTTTTAAAAGTGATGTGTGAGATAACTTCACTTATCAACGACTAAGCAATGCTCGTTTTATAGCAGTAACTGACCTGTGACTTTTCTCGGCTTTTTGAGATCAATTTCAAGAAACTGCTCCTTATCTGCCAGCTTTGCACACCAGCTTCCTCGGGTGGAAACACGTTCGTTCCGAGCAGTTATAACACGTGCGTAGAACGCTGGATGTGCTTTGTCTATTGTAGATGAGCCGGAAATCTCGTGGTCCAAGATTGTGCCATTTGACATTCCCATTGGTGAAAAACATTCTACATGTGTATAACAAAAAAAAAAAATCATCAGGGCCTGTTTGCGGGTGTGTTGTAAGGTTAGGACATCGAATAAGTGCATGGAAGAAAAGGAATAGGAATGGAAGCTCTCTATTTTCTTGTACTAGAGTCGCGAACCAAAACTAGCATTTACAGTGAAATCTTACTGTACTGCATGGGAAGCCTGTCAGAGAAACGATTGACTTTTGCGTATCTCGCTTTACTGTTTGCTGTGGAAACTATTATAAAAATAAGATAATATTACCTGGGCAACTCGGATTGGTGCACGGCACTCTCTCAGTGTATGACTCTGTTCCTGGTGGACAGTTTTGATTTCGTTCATTGCCTTTTGGTTGACATTTGATGACCCTTTTCTTGGTTCCTTTACCACAGCTTACGCTGCATTCTCCAAAATTTGACCATGTAGTGAATGGATTAATGCTATCTATCGCGGATAAATCCGTTTGAACTGTGTCAGAGAGCAATCCTGATAGACAGATTAAGGAGGAAAATTAATGAGCCGAGTGATGGGCGTTTTTTAATGCGTGTCTAATTTTATTTAATGGTCGAGTTAGAAATTAATAAAAAATATCTGTAAGTATTCGGTCTGCCGTATCTCAGACGTCATAAGCGACTTGTCTCTGAATCAAAATGAGTCTGCGAAACTACTGATATGAGACTTATATTTATCTGCTCAGCTCGTTCATTATCTACGACCTTTATCAAGTGCAAATGTGAAGAGCTTTCCCAGACGTTTGCGCAAAACTTTTAGAAGCTATATTGCATAATTTTGTGAGAAACTTTACATTCCAAGTACGCTTGTTAACTTCCCAGACATTCTTTTTCACACCCAAAAGACTGTTACGTTGTTCACTCGACTCTTCATCGTGTGATCAGACTTCTAAGTTTTACTTCGAGTTGACTGGTTAATATTCGGTTGTTCCTTAGCTAAAAGCTGTGATTTGCTGTGTGATCACCGGCTTCCCTTCAGCATTTCAATTTTTGTTCTGCTTTAGGAGTGTTGAAAAAGGGCTGAAAGAAGCAATAAGTTACCTTATTACATGAAATTTTGGCGTCACGTTAATTTAGCGATTTTGAAAAATCCGTATTTAGCGACACTTTAATTTAGCGATTTTTCGTAAATTTTG